TTTTTTATCTGAATTTAGGCTAAAAAACTTGAGATCAATTTTCTTAAATTCTACATAATACATTTCCCATATAAAAAATATAAAACACATTGTTTGCATTCATAAAATCTTTGCTCCGTATTTTCTGTATTCACGCGCTGGATGTTTGGACTGAAGTTAGTTTAACGCCGGTGAAATCTGAGAGACGCGTTGCTCAAGTTAAAAAAAATAAACACTTGATTTTGTGTCATTCGGGATCACGGTCTGATTTTTTTAGGAATGTTATAAAAATTATTTGTCATGCGCAAAATTGTATAATTTACTATCAGGGATCCAGAGCATTTAAAACGTAACCATTCAACAGATTAAACCCAAACTTCGTTTTCCGTCAAATCTATCACACTGACAATCTTTTCATTCGCGACAAATACAGCCATTAAAATAAGAGGATTACACATTTAATCACAAAATTAAAAATAAAAGTTTTTGCAGGCGTTTTTACAGTGTCGATATTTCCCCTCCAAAAAGACACAAGAATGGAATGAGGATTAAAAACTGCACTAACAGAAATAGTCTGTCTCGCGGCCAACTGACCATGAAAATGAGTCCAACATTTTCCCATCAACAGATCATGGCTGCAAATTGCTTCCAATGGTAATCAATTAATTTAGAACCTTTCATATGGCGCCAGACAACACAGAGAGCAACGAGCTGCATCCACATATTTTCTGTCAACTGCTTCCCTCTACTGGAGGAAAACGAGACTCATGCACAATGTCTGCAATTTGAATTCTAAGTCGAGTGACTCTGTGTGATAACCTGAAGAACTACTAAAGTAATAAAAAAAAAAATCTAAATTATTTCACATTACATGTTCATTGTAATTGTAATAGGGAAAAGAAAAGTCAATTGAAAACAACAGTCAGCGCTTTCTTTTATCTCTGTCTTGGCTCCTCTCTCTTCTCTCCCTGCTCCTACTTCTACTCCTTCCTCTGCCCTCCCTTTCTTTCCCCCGTTCCCTGCTCCTACTCCTCCCATCTGCTGTTCTGCCTCTCCTTCCATCTGTGCCACTTCTGTCCCTCTCTCCATCTCCGCTGCGACGCCTGTCTGTACCTCTGTCCTCCCTGCCTCTGTCGCGGCTCCGACTTTCCTCCAAACCAGACTTGGAGCTGCCGGGCCTCTGCTTGTCCCTGCTGGTGCGCCTCTGTCTCTCTTGACCCCCCTCCGACTTGATCTTGTTCACCGGGCTGCGATCTCGACTCCTACTCCTTCCCCTCTCTGTCTGCGTTTGTCTGTAATTTCGGGACTCCTCTTCAGCCCTCCTCTGTCCAGCGTGAGGGCTCCGTGACCTGCTCCTGTGAGAGGAGGAGGCCTTTCTCTGACTCTTGAGTTGTTGCTCGCTCTTGGAGCTCTTATCCCGACAGGAATCTTTTTTCTTGTTCTTCTTTCGCTTTTGGCTCTTGAACTTGCCTTGGTCGTCTGAATCTGAGCCACTATCATCGCTGCTGCTGCTGCTGCTGCTGCTGCTGCTGGAGGAGTCACTGGAGCTGCTGCTACTTTCATGCTTTTTTTTCTGTCTTCTTTTGCTTTTCTTCTTCTGCTTTTTGCTCTTCTTTTTCTTGGCCCTCTTCTTTTCCAGACGATCAAGTTTTCTGTTAAATAATAGAACAAAAAAAATTTAATTTCCCAACAAGGCAGCTGACAGATGTCCAATATTAGGTCAAATAAATTTGCTCAATCAAATCAAGCAAATGTAAGCGGAATAAAAAATACACAGAATGTGACACCTTATTATTATTACTATTTAAAATCACCTGATATTTACTTTGTTCACAGTAAAACAAATACATTTTTCTATGTAGGACAACATCATGGTAATCTGGTAATTCATCAGATCATTTAAGAGAATTCTTTTCAGGTTACATTATCAACATCAAGCTAAAAAAATACTCAGACTAAAAATGCAGTATAATTTTGTTTTAATTATCATGCAGTTGAATTCATTTAAACTTCAATATTTGAATGTGAGTAAACTGTGCTTTATTTTTACCTGAGGAGCTTCTGTTTTTCTTTGGACGATAATGACTTGAGAAATTCAACCTCAGGATCGTCCTCCTCATCACTGGCAACATATTCCTATAAAATAAAAGCACATTCAAACTTATACTGAAATTTCAAAAACTGCTCACAAAGGCAAATCTGAGCAACTTAATAGTAGATTACAGCAGATGAACATGTTTAAAAAATGATATCATTTGTGCGATCTAATCTGTATTCTGAAATGTATTCATTATTGTTAGTCTTAAAAGCATTCATACATCCTAGCGATATATATCTTTTCTGTCTGAAGTGTAGAGAATGTGTGTTTTCCTATATTCTCCTGTGTGCGCAAAGACGGGAGTGTGAGACAGACAATTACCTGTGATGGATCACAAACAGTAGCATTCCTATCAAGGACACATTTTTTCAGGGCAAACCCACTGTTTCGCATCTCCGCCATTAACTCTGAGGGGTGCATCGACGGACCTGTTAGCACAAATCACAGCCTCAGAGTCCCATTGATGTCAAACCCATGCCAACCACTATCTCCACAGTGGGAATTTCAGGGGCGGCTTTGTTAACAGAATGGGACATCAAATCAACTCACTCCACTTCCGGCTGAGCAAATCATACAATATCATTCCCTGCCAAAGCAGCAGTTAGGGGGAATCAGAATACACAACAATTACATTTTTTCTCCCGGCACAGGAGGGGGACCATTACAGTACTCAGCCATCAATGCCATGCACTGACTGGACTCTCCCTCTGTAAACATTTTGACTTTACTACGCCACTTGCTGATTGCAGAAGTCAGAATCAGCTGTAGAAAGGAGCTGAACCCTGGGAGAAGGTACAGTAGGTGTACAAGCTGCAAAGTCTATTGACTCACAAAAGCCACAAATATCAAGCAGCACAGATATTGTGGATCTCTGCTCTTTCCTACACACATTTAAATTATTCCACTGTTGTTAAATTGCACAACAACAAAAAATTGTTAACAGAAATATATGAATACATATTGTAAACCCAATTTCAGGAGGTAAAATGTACACATCAATTCAACACAGAATGCTATTTTATTCATCAAATATTTATGTGTTAATATTCGCTTCACTGCTCTTCAATGATCACACTTTAAACAAGGGAGCAGCAGGGCAACATGTTTAAAACTAGGTTTTACTCAATTATGTGTGTGTACTCTACCTGCTTCCTCCTCCGTGGCAACAGAGCTGGCATTGATACCAGACAGTCCATACAGAGGACACTCTCTGTCTGTGTTCACGTGGCCCCATTTGTGACATTTGATGCATCTCACGTTGCGCACCTGTGAAGTCAATAACAGACATTACATGCAATTGTCTCAATACTTGAGATGCATGCATGATAATTAAATAAAGAAAATACATTCACTACACATATTTATAGGAACACCAAATTAAAAAAGGAAAATCCATTGGTTTTAGACATATTTTATTCAGTTTCTTATTCGGATATCACTGATGTACATTTTCTTGAAATAAATACAAATCATCACGCACCTGGATCCCAAACGGCTGATCTCTAATAGTCATGTCATCCTTTGCATATCTATGAAAAGAAAAATCAAGATAAAAACAGGGAGCACAGGACAACAAGCCCAGAAACTATCAATGTGT